ATAAATATGGTTTATACCCATCGAATAACACTGTCTCATTGGTGTATAAACTTCATCTAGGGTTTATACCCAGCGAAAAACTTTGTCCCATTTATGTATGAACGATAAATATGGTTTATACCCATCGAATAACTCTGTCTCATTGTTGTTTGAACGTTACATAGGGTTTATACCCATCGAATAACTCTGTCTCATTGTTGTTTGAATGTTATATAGGGTTTATAACCATCGAATAACTCTGTCTCATTGGTGTATAAACGATGTATAGGGTTTATATCTATCTAAAAACTTTTTCTCTTTAGTGTATGAACGTCACATAGGGTGTATACCCTTCGAATAACTCTGTCTCATTGGTGTATGAACATCATATAGGGTTTATACCCATCGAATAACTATGTCTCATTGGTGTATGAACGTTATATAGGATGTATACCCATCGAATAACTCTATCTCATTCGTGTATGAACATTGTTTAGGGCTTATACCCATCGAATAACTCTGTCTTATTGGTGTATGAACGTTATATAGAGTTTATACCCATCGAATAACTCTGTCTCATTGGTGTATGAACATTGTTTAGGGTTTATACCCATCGAATAACTCTGGCTTATTGGTGTATGAACGTTATATAGAGTTTGTACCCATCGAATAACTCTGTCTCATTTATGTATAAACTTCATATATGGTTTATACCCATCGAAAAACTTTGTCTCATTTATGTTTGAACGATAAATATGGTTTATACTAATCGAATAACTCTATCTCATTGTTGTTTGAACGTTATATAGGGTTTATACCCATCGAATAACTCTGTCTCATTGGTGTATGAACGTCATATAGGGTTTATACCCATCGAATAACTCTGTCTTATTGGTGTATGAACGTTATATAGGGTTTATACCCATCAAATAACTCTGTATCATTGGTGTATAAACTTTCTATAGGGTTTATACCCATCGAAAAACTTTGTCTCATTAATTTATGAACGATAAATATGGTTTATACCAATCGAATAACACTCTCTCGTTGTTGTTTGATCATTGTTTAGGGTTTATACCCATCGAATAACTCTGTCTTATTGGTGTATGAAAGTTATATAGGGTTTATACCCATCGAATAACTCTGTCTCATTGGTGTATGAACGTTATATAGGATTTATACCCATCGAAAAACTTTGTCTCATTTATGTATGAACGATAAATATGGTTTATACCCATCGAATAACTCTGTCTCATTGTTGTTTGAACGTTATATAGAGTTTATACCCATCGAATAACTCTGTCTCATTGGTATATAAACTTCAGATAGGGTTTAAACCCATCGAAAAACTTTGTCTCGATTTATGTTTGAACGATAAATATGGTTTATTATAATCGATTAACTCTGTCTCATTGTTGTTTGAACGTTATATAGGGATTATACCCATCGAATAACTCTGTCTCATTGGTGTATGAACATTGTTTAGGGTTTATACCCATCGAATAACTCTGTCTTATTGGTGTATGAACGTTATATAGGGTTTATACCTATCTAAAAACTTTGTCTCATTGGTGTTTGAACGTCATATAGGGTTTATACAATTCGAATAACTCTGTCTCATTGTTGTATGAACGTCATATAGGATTTATATCCATCGAATAACTCTGTCTCATTGGTGTATGAACGTTATATAGGATTTATACCCATCGAATAACTCTGTCTCATTGGTGTATGAACATTGTTTAGGGTTTATACCCATCGAATAACTCTGTTTTATTGGTGTATGAACATTATATAGAGTTTATACCCATCGAATAACTCTGTCTAATTGGTGTATAAACTTCATATAGGGTTTATACCCATCGAAAAACTTTGTCTCATTTATGTTTGAACGATAAATATGGTTTATACTAATCAAATAACTCTGTCTCATTGTTGTTTGAATGTTATATAGGGTTTATACCCATCGAATAACTCTGTCTCATTGGTGTATGAACATTGTTTAAGGATTATACCCATCGAATAACTCTGTCTTATTGGTGTATGAACGTTATATAGGGTTTATACCCATCGAATAACTCTGTCTCATTGTTGTTTGAACGTTATATAGGGATTATACCCATCGAATAACTCTATCTCATTGGTGTATGAACATTGTTTAGGGTTTATACCCATCGAATAATTCTGTTTTATTGGTGTATGAACGTTATATAGGGTTTATACCTATCTAAAAACTTTGTCTCATTGGTGTATGAACGTCATAAAGGGTTTATACAATTCGAATAACTCTGTCTCTTTGTTGTATGAACGTCATATAGGGTTTATATCCATCGAATAACTCTGTCTCATTGGTGTATGAACGTTATATAGGATTTATACCCATCGAATAACTCTGTCTCATTGGTGTATGTACATTGTTTAGGGTTTATACCCATCGAATAACTCTGTTTTATTGGTGTATGAACATTATATAGAGTTTATACCCATCGAATAACTCTGTCTAATTGGTGTATAAACTTCATATAGGGTTTATACCCATCGAAAAACTTTGTCTCATTTATGTTTGAACGATAAATATGGTTTATACTAATCGAATAACTCTGTCTCATTGTTGTTTGAATGTTATATAGTGTTTATACCCATCGAATAACTCTGTCTCATTGGTGTATGAACATTGTTTAGGAATTATACCCATCGAATAACTCTGTCTTATTGGTGTATGAACGTTATATAGGGTTTATACCCATCGAATAACTCTGTCTCATTGGTGTATGAACGGCATATAGGGTTTACATCCATCGAATACCTCTGTCTCATTGTTGTTTGAACGTTATATAGGGTTTATACCCATCGAATAACTCTGTCTCATTGGTGTATGAACATTGTTTAGGGTTTATACCCATCGAATAACTCTGTCTTATTGGTGTATGAACATTATATAGAGTTTATACCCATCGAATAACTCTGTCTAATTGGTGTATAAACTTCATATAGGGTTTATACCCATCGAAAAACTTTGTCTCATTTATGTTTGAACGATAAATATGGTTTATACTAATCGAATAACTCTGTCTCATTGTTATTTGAATGTTATATAGGGTTTATACCCATCGAATAACTCTGTCTCATTGGTGTATGAACATTGTTTAGGAATTATACCCATCGAATAACTCTGTCTTATTGGTGTATGAACGTTATAATGGGTTTATACCCATCGAATAACTCTGTCTCATTGGTGTATGAACGTCATATAGGGTTTATTCCCATCGAATTAGTCTGTCTCATTGGTGTATGAAAGTTATATATAGGATTTATACCCATCGAATAACTCTGTCTCATTGGTGTATAAACTTCATATAGGGTTTATACCCATCGAAAAACTTTGTCTCATTTATGTATGAACGATTAATATGGTTTATACCCATCGAATAACTCTGTCTCATTGTTGTTTGAACGTTATATAGGATTTATACCCATCGAATAACTCTGTCTCATTGTTGTTTGAATGTTATAAAGGGTTTATAACCATCGAATAACTCTGTCTCATTGGTGTATAAACGATGTATAGGGTTTATATCTATCTAAAAACTTTGTCTCTTAGGTGTATGAACGTCACATAGGGTTTATACCCTTCGAATAACTCTGTCTCATTGGTGTATGAACGTCATATAGGGTTTATACCCATCGAATAACTCTGTCTTATTGGTGTATGAACATTGTTTAGGGTTTATACCCATCGAATAAATCTGTCTCATTGGTGTATGAACGTCATATAGGGTTTATACCCATCGAATAACTCTGTCTTATTGGTGTATGAACGTTATATAGGGTTTATACCCATCGAATAACTCTGTCTCATTGGTGTATAAACTTCATATAGGGTTTATACCCATCGAAAAACTTTGTCTCATTTATTTATGAACTATAAATATGGTTTATACCCATCGAATTACACTGTCTCATTGGTAAATAAACTTCATATAGGGTTTATACCCATCGAAAAACTTTTTCTCATTTATGTATGAACGATAAATATGGTTTATACCCATCGAATAACTCTGTCTCGTTGTTGTTTGAACGTTATATAGGGTTTATACCCATCGAATAACTCTGTCTCATTGGTATATAAACTTTATATAGGATTTATACCCATCGAAAAACTTTGTCTCATTTATGTATGAACGATAAATATCGTTTATACCCATCGACTAACTCTGTCTCATTGTTGTTTGAACGTTATATAGGGTTTATACCCATCGAAGAACTCTGTCTCATTGGTGTATGAACATTGTTTAGGGTTTATACCCATCGAATAACTCTGTCTTATTGGTGTATGAACGTTATATAGGGTTTATACCTATCTAAAAAATTTGTCTCATTGGTGTATGAACGTCATATAGGGTTTATACAATTCGAATAACTCTGTCTCATTGTTGTATGAACGTCATGAACGTTTATACCTATCTAAAAAATTTGTCTCATTGGTGTATGAACGTCATATAGGGTTTATACAATTCGAATAACTCTGTCTCATTGTTGTATGAACGTCATATAGGGTTTATACCCATCGAATAACTCTGTCTCATTGGTGTATGAATTTATATAGGATTTAACCCATCGAATAACTCTGTCTCATAGGTGTATGAACATTGTTTAGGGTTTATACCCATCGAATAACTCTGTCTTATTGGTGTATGAACGTTATATAGAGTCTATACCCATCGAATAACTCTGTCTCATTGGTGTAAAAACTTCATATAGGGTTTATACCCATCGAAAAACTTTGTCTCATTTATGTTTGAACGATAAATATGGTTTATACTAATCGAATAACTCTGTCTCATTGTTGTTTGAATGTTATAAAGGGTTTATACCCATCGAATAACTCTGTCTCATTGGTGTATAAACGATGTATAGGGTTTATACCAATCGAAAAACTTTGTCTCATTTATGTACGAACGATAAATATGGTTTATACCCATCGAATAACTCTGTCTCGTTGTTGTTTGAAAGCTATTTATACAAAATTCTCAGAAAAGGTCCTGAATATGTTTAATTGTCATTTGTTCCATGTTTGCATTGTGTTCTGATTCTTTGTAAATATTTTTAGGGTAAATTAATTTATGTTTGATGTGATGTTGTACTAATCTTATTTTAATTGTCTGTTGTTTATACTGTATCTTTTCTTTGGTAAGTGTTAGTCTGTTATGTAATAGGGAAATGTGTGTTAACACCTGAGTAAACATCCAACCTGATACCTTCTTGCAAATTTCTTTGACCTGACAATTAAACCATCCTGATGTAACTTTCTGTCCTATATTTCGACTTTTGCTAATAAATGTGTCAGTGAACAAAATCCTCAAAGTCACACATAATGAGTTCATAGTAATTTAAATAATTTAATTACCCCTGATTTCTTTCAGAACTCACCATTTGAACTCATGATATGTAAAATTAAGGATTTAGTGCTCACATCAACATTATTATCAACCTAATTTTTTCCTGTCATAACCTATCTTGTAAATAAACTCCTGGGAAATATTGTGTAGCAATGCCAGTGGTATCCATGTTTGAATTAAACATAAATCATAATTGAATTAAAACTTTTATTTTATATATATACATCACTAATTTGGCCCTTGGGGAATCTACTCAGCTAAAAAATTTAATTTTTTGCTCCATGCCTAAACCAAGAGCCTAGCTATGTGCATACTGAAAAGTAGCAAAGTATAGACCCCTGGCTTGACATCACACCAATCCAATTGGAACGATGGTTCAAAATAAATGCGTGAGGCTATCAGGAAGCCTATGAGGCTATCATGCCTAGAGGCTATCATGCCTATGAGGAAGCCTATAATGAGGCAATGAGGAAGCCTATAAGGAGGCTATGAGGAAGCCTATAAGGAGGCTATGAGGAAGCCTAGTAGTGTTGATGTTGAATTGGTGTTGGAATGAATTTGTATGAAATTTGACAGTTTATCCCCAGAAATTCTTGGGGGATGAGTGAAATTTTTGAAACAACCAGTGATAAAATTTCATAAATGTCCATAACACAGATGGTAACAGCTGAGTGTCCCCAAGGATTTGTGAGGTAAGGGACGGGGTACCTTCAATAAAGCCATGAGAAAAAAAAAAAAAAAAAAAAAAACTAAAAGTAATCACATTATAATAACACATTATCAAAATCAATTGTCAAACAAAAACAATATCATACAGAAACTTTGTGAAAACATGCATACATATATATATGAAACATTTGAAGATGAGCATTCCTTTAAATTCTACCTAACCTACTTTGAGCTGTTTTAATAGATGCTGGCGTGACTCTAATGTATCTGATGTAACTATCTGAAGACCAGCGCCCTAATGTTTTTATCAAGTGATCTTCTATTTTTGCCTTACCAGCACTAGTGGCTGCCCCAATTCTAAAACTATGACCATTATAATGACTTGAGTTGAAGCCACATATATCCAGTACTTTTTTAATACAGGTGAGGAAATATTGTCTCTCCAGAGGTTTTTTATCAATGGTTATGAAAAGTGGATCAGTTTGATTGATAGGAGAAAATTCCTTCCTTATTTGTATATATTCTAACAAAATTGTGTAAGGGCAGATAAGCTGACCTAATTTATGTAGCTGTATATTTATGCCTTTTCTAAAAGGATCAGTTTTTGATTGTTTTAATTTCAAAACTACTAAGTCTGTGTGAAAAACAACATCTTCAATACATAAATTTATATCTGGATCAAATTGTGAGGCCTTTGACACTGTAAACTCTCCACATCTCAAAAATCCATAAAATGCGACAATGCATGCAGTTCTTAACATCAAATCAGTAAACTTGGAACAAAAACCTTTTCTCAAACAATTTACAATTTTCTCCAAAATTTCGAAAGTTATTGGTAATCTTATGTGATTTTTTGTTTTTTGCAGTCTTTTTACAGAATTTAAAACATAATCAAGCCTAATTAAAGGTGTATTATTAGCAGATTGCAAGGGATCATTATGATTACCCTGTACATACTTATACCTAATTCCACATAAATATAGTTTAATGGTAGAGTATTGTAAACTCAGAATTTTAAAGCAGTGGGCTATGAAATAAATTAAAATATCCTCAGAAATAGGAGGTAAACTAGTAAATTGAAAACCATTCAATAACATAAAAGTCTCAAACTTTCTAAACCCAGTATCATAAACAGTTCTTGTAGTATTAGCAATAGCACTGTTCCAAAGTTCATTCACTGCTTTATTTAAGACCATATTACATCTGAGCTGCTTGGGCACTTCATTGGATGTTGTGCTGCACTGGGAGCTAGTTTGCGGAATCTGTCTATCTGAAAACGAGATAGAGCATCACTTATGTCATTCTGATATCCTGGAACATGTTTCGCACTAAAATGAAAGTTGTATTTACAAGCACACCATGTAAGTTTCCTCATTAATTTCATTATTTGTAAACACTTTGAACGGCCCTTTTTTTACTATAGCTACTGTAGCTTCATTGTCACACCAGAAAAGAATGCATTTTGTTGTCCACTGTGAGCCCCACAGTATTGCGGATACTACAATAGGGTATAATTCAAGAAAAGCCATTGAAAATGTTTTGTCAGGATAAGCAATGTTTGATGGCCATGATGAATAAAACCATTCTCCTTTGAAATATCCACCAAATCCTTTCGTTGATGAGGCATCAGTGAAAAGTTCCATATCATAACTTGAGTTAAATTGTCTACTGTAAAACATGTTCACACCATTCCAGCTGCTCAAAAAAAGTAACCAAAATTCTAGGTCAACACGGCATTCCTTATCTAATTTAACATAATGATGCAAATCATTGACAGTAGTGGACAGCCCTATGAGGTATGAAACAAAGGATCTACCAGGTAAAATGACACGTGAAGCAAAGTTTAAGTGGCCCAAAAGCTGCAACAATTCCCTTTTGGTACATGATTTTTTCCAGTATAATTTTTTGATGAATTCACAAATGCGATTGACTTTATTAAGGGGCAGTCGAGCTTCCATTTTTTCAGAATCTAGAATAATACCCAAATATTCTAAACATTTTACAGGACCTATTGTCTTATGTTTAGCTATAGGAATGTTCAGTTTTTTGAAAATCATCATCATTATAGCCATAGTCCTCTCACCATCAGCATCTGGTGGATCTATGGTTAGAAAATCATCCAATAAATGCAAAATGCTATTAACTTTGTAATTTTTTTCTGCAATATGACACAAAGCTTGGGATAAATGGTCAAAAATTTAAGGGCTTGAACGACATCCAAAAGTTAAACGGACATAAAAATAATACATTTTTTCCCATTTTATGCAGAAAAGAGGCCACTGACTTGGTATAATAGGACAATTTTTAAACGCGTCGGATATGTCGAACTTGCAAAGCCAGGAATTTCTTCCAAATTTCAAAATAACATCAATGGCGTCATCTATTCTTACATAAGACATTGAGCAATCTTGTTTGTCAATAAGATCATTAATGCTTAGATGGTTGTCATCATTATGTGGTGAAGATAAGTCCAATATTAAGCGCTTTTTACCAGAATATTTCCCTTCTGCAATACCAATTGGGCTTACCCTATATTTTTGAAAAGGGGGATCCTTAAAAGGCCCATACAAGAAACCTTTAAAAACTTCTTTCTCTATCAACTCAGAAACCACATCTGGTTGTGTCCTAGCAGATAAACTATTCCTACATTCTTTTGTAGGTAAATCTGTTGTAGCTACCATAGTATCAAAACCTTTCTCTAAGCCATTGCATAAATAGTTAACAAATTTTTTGTCAGGATGAGATACTAATTCTTTTGCAAGTTTAATAACATTAGTTGGAGTAGTTGCCAGATGTGGAAAATCATGTAGTCATTGACCTTGCTTATTTGTTGTTATTTTCTCAAACTTTAGTGGTGAAGAGTTAACTGTATGTGGCTTAGATTGTACTTCAGTCCTACCTTGAGAGGGAAAAACTTTTTGACAAGCTAATAGGGTATGACCAGCGACTTTACATCTACTACAGATATGTGAAAAATGACAAAAACTCCTGGTACAACCCCTACTGGTATTAAAATTATTGCACACCTCCCTCCCAGAATGATAAACCTTCTTTCTACCTAACTTATCAGTATTGTCTACCTGCCTTGATACTTTATCTGGGTAGTCTTGATACCCCATGGAGGTTTGCATAGGACAGAAAGCTGTAGTGTGATCAACCAAATTACAAATTTTGCAAACATTTACATTCCCACCAGCAACTATTAATGAAAGAAGATCCCTATCTCTTTTGCTCCAGTCCACCTTAATCCTTCTCTCCCTTAAAAGAGCTGCTGATTTTGCAGAAAACAATTTGTGGTAATCATAAAATCTATCACCATAAAAATTACTAATATCTATAATCTCATCTTCATAAGCATCCAGATCTGCTCTACGATCAGGATAAGCTGATGACATAACCCTTTTAAACTTGCCAAATGCCTTAATGAATTCTTGAATTGTGAGTTTCCTATTTAGACGGGGATCTGGCTTCCCAAAGATATTTAATTCTAACCCATTAGCTGCAACATAGTGAACTTGGGGACTTTCATAATTTGGGATTAGAAGAGATGCCAAATTAACATCCTTACCGTCAATGATTTGCTTCTGAATAGATGGAGATATTATGTCCACATTAGAGTATTCATCAGAACGCACTCCACATGAAAAATTTCCAATTTGTGTTCCTGAGATGAAAGATGCATTCTCTGTATTTCCTTGTAAACTGTTGTTATTTCCCCTGTTAGAAGTGTAGGTTTCACTCCTATTTCCAATCCCTGCATGGTTATACCACTGTTGAAGGTTGAATTCGCGATCTCTACTCGTGTCATGAGTATTGTCTCTGTAAATTAACTGTTTGAAGGTCTCTTGAAGCCCTGCAAAACACTGAGCTATGTTTTGTGATTCTGCAGTCTTGTTCCTGTCTGTTCCACCATTCTCATTTTTGCCATTCGATACACTGCTTCTGTGTTGATGCACTGATTCTGCCAAGTTAATCGGAACAGTGTTCTCTGGTGAGGAATCTGTGTTAATCTCATCACTAACGTTCTCTGTCTGTTGTGTCTCTATAGGTGTTACTCCTTCAATACTATTCTCTATGTAAAGTTGTTTTAACACTTGTTTTGACATTCCAGTAGGTGTTCTTATTCCCTTTTTGTTAAGTTCTTCTTTCAGTTTGCTTATAGTCCAGTTAGATGGGTTATTAGAATCCCATTGGGTCTCATACGGAGACCTCCTAGTCTTCATTCGCACACCTTTTCCTCTGCCAGACATTTTGTTGTCAGTTATTCCAATAATGTTTAAATTCTCCAGTTAAATTAGTCTGAATTATATTAAATTGTTTAAAAACTGTAATATAGCTTTAGTATAGTAATCCAAACACTGAAAGTTCAAGTTTTTAGCTAAAACACTATTAGAGCCAAGATTAGTCTAATAACTGCTTAATCTGCATTTAAATAAATGGATACTCAAGGCAGCATACACAGGTTTTTAATACACAACTTCTTAATGGGATACTCCTATGTGGGAGGAGTTAAAACTGCACCCAGGTTAATGTATAAAGAACAAAGGACAAAGGAAGCCAAATGCCACAAGTGGTCACTAATTAACAAGACATGTATATTTGTATTGGAACTGATGTAATTAAACCTCCTGCTAAGAACATGTGATAAACTTCACATCTAACTGATTGAGATATGATAATAAATCTGTTTCATCTCAACAGTAAAGAAAACACACATCCTGGGAAAATCCTAAAATAATGACCACTGAGTGTAATGAAAATCAAACTATGTATAAACATTACTTATATAACATATAAGTACCTATTTAGGGTTTATACCCATCGAATAACTCTGTCTCATTGGTGTATAAACGATGTATAGGGTTTATACCCATCGAAAAACTTTGTCTCATTTATGTATGAACGATAAATATGGTTTATACCCATCGAATAACTCTGTCTCATTGTTGTTTGAACGTTATATAGGGTTTCTACCCATCGAATAACTCTGTCTCATTGGTGTATAAACGATGTATAGGGTTTATACCAATCGAAAAACTTTGTCTCATTTATGTACGAACGATAAATATGGTTTATACCCATCGAATAACTCTGTCTCGTTGTTGTTTGAAAGTTATATAGGGTTTATACCCATCGAATAACTCTGTTTCATTGTTGTTTGAACGTTATATAGGGTTTATACCCATCGAATAACACTGTCTCATTGGTGTATAAACGATGTATACGGTTTAAACCTATCTAAAAACTTTGTCTCTTTGGTGTATGAACGTCACATAGGGTTTATACCCTTCGAATAACTCTGTCTCATTGGTGTATGAACGTCATATAGGGTTAATACCCATCGAATAACTCTGTCTCATTGGTGTATGAACGTTATATAGGATTTATACCCATCGAATAAATCTGTCTCATTGGTGTATGAACATTGTTTAGGGTTTATACCCATCGAATAACTCTGTCTTATTGGTGTATGAACGTTATATAGAGTTTATTCCCATCGAATAAATCTGTCTCATTGGTGTATAAACTTCATATAGGGTTTATACCCATCGAAAAACTTTGTCTCATTTATGTTTGAACGATAAATATGGTTTATACTAATCGAATAACTCTGTCTCATTGTTGTTTGAACGTTTTATAGGGTTTATACCCATCGAATAACTCTGTCTCATTGGTGTATGAACATTGTTTAGGGTTTATACCCATCGAATAACTCTGTCTTATTGGTGTATAAACGTTATATAGGGTTTATACCCATCGAATAACTCTGTCTCATTGGTGTATAAACTTCATATAGGGTTTATACCTATCGATAAAATTTGTCTCATTTATTTATGAACGATAAATATGATTTATACCCATCGAATAACACTGTCTCATTGGTGTATAAACTTCATATAGGGTTTATACCCATCGAGAAACATTGTCTCATTTATGTTTGAACGATAAATATGGTTTATACTAATCGAATAACTCTGTGTCATTGTTTTCTGAACGTTATATAGGGTTTATACCCATCGAATAACTCTGTCTCATTGGTGTATCAACATTGTTTAGGGTTTATACCCATCGAATAACTCTGTCCTACTGGTGTATGAACGTTATATAGGGTTTATACCCATCGAATAACTCTGTCTCATTGTTGTTTGAACGTTATATAGGGTTGTTACCCATAGAATAAATCTGTCTTATTGGTGTATGAACGTTGAATAGGGTTTCTACCCACTGAATAACTCTGTCTCATTGGTGTATAAACTTCATATAGGGTTTATACCCATCGAAAAACTCTGTCTCATTTATGTATGAACGATAAATATGGTTTATACCAATCGAATAACTCTGTCTCATTGTTGTTAGAACGTTATATAGGGTTTATACCCATCGAATAACTCTGTCTCATTGTTGTTTGAACGTTATATAGGGTTTATACCCATCGAATAGCTCTGTCTCATTGGTGAATAAAAGATGTATAGGGTTAATACCCATCGAAAAACTTTGTCTCATTTATGTATGAACGATAAATATGGTTTATACCCATCGAAAAACTCTGTCTCATTGTTGTTTGAACGTTATATAGGGTTTATACCCATCGAATAACTCTGTTTCATTGGTGTATAAACTTCATATAGGGTTTATACCTATCGATAAAATTTGTCTCATTTATTTATGAACGATAAATATGGTTTATACCCATCGAATAACACAGTCTCATTGGTATATAAACTTCATATAGGATTTATACCCATCGAAAAACTTTGTCTCATTTATGTATGAACCATAAATTTGGTTTATACCCATCGGACAACTCTGTCTCCTTGTTGTTTGAACGTTATATAGGGTTTATACCCATCGAATAACTCTGTTTCATTGTTGTTTGAACGTTATTTAGGGTTTATACCCATCGAATAACTCTGTCTCATTGGTGTATAAAAGATGGATAGGGTTTATACCTATCTAAAAACTTTGTCTCTTTGGTGTATGAGCGTCACATAGGGTTTATACCCATCGAATAACTCTGTCTCATTGGTGTATGAATGTAATATAGGGTTAATACCCATCGAATAACTCTGTCTCATTGGTGTATGAACGTTATATAGGATTTATACCCATCTAATAAATCTGTCTCATTGGTGTATGAACATTGTTTAGGGTTTATACCCATCGAATAACTCTGTCTTATTGGTGTATGAACGTTATATAGAGTTTATGTCCATCGAATAAATCTATCTCATTGGTGTATAAACTTCATATAGGGTTTATACCCATCGAAAAACTTTGTCTCATTTATGTTTGAACGATAAATATGGTTTATACTAATCGAATAACTCTGTCTCATTGTTGTTTGAACGTTATATAGGGTTTATACCCTTCGAATAACTCTGTCTCATTGGTGTATGAACATTGTTCAGGGTTTATACCCATCGAATAACTCTGTCTTATTGGTGTATAAACGTTATATAGGGTTTATACCCATCGAATAACTCTGTCTCATTGGTGTATAAACTTCATATAGGGTTTATACCTATCGAAAAACTTTGTCTCATTTATGTTTGAACGATAAATATGGTTTATACTAATCGAATAACTCTGTCTCATTGTTGTTTGAATGTTATAAAGGGTTTATACCCATCGAATAACTCTGTCTCATTGGTGTATGAACATTGTTTAGGGTTTATACCCAACGAATAACTCTGTCTTATTGGTGTATGAACGTTATATAGGGTTTATACCCATCGAATAACTCTGTCTCATTGGTGTATGAACGTCATATAGGGTTTATATCCACCGAATAACTCTGTCTCATTGTTGTTTGAACGTTATATAGGGATTATAACCATCGAATAACTCTGTCTCATTGGTGTATGAACATTGTTTAGGGTTTATACCCATCGAATAACTCTGTCTTATTGGTGTATAAACTTCATATAGGGTTTATACCCATCGAAAAACTTTTTCTCATTTATGTATGAACGATAAATATGGTTTATACCGATCGAATAACTCTGTCTCGTTGTTGTTTGAACGTTATATAGGGTTTATACCCATCGATTAACTCTGTCTCATTGGTGTATGAACATTGTTTAGGGTTTATACCCATCGAATAACTCTGTCTTATTGGTGTATGAACGTTATATAGGGTTTATACCCATCGAATAACTCTGTCTCATTGGTGTATGAACATTGTTTAGGGTTTATACCCATCGAATAACTCTGTCTTATTGGTGTATGAACGTTATATAGGGTTTATACCCATCGAATAACTCATTCTTATTGGTGTATGAACGTTATATAGGATTTATACCCATCGAAAACTTTGTCTCAATTATGTATGAACGATAAATATGGTTTATACCCATCGAATAACTCTGTCTCGTTGTTGTTTGAAAGTTATTTAGGGTTTATACCCATCGAATAACTCTGTCTCATTGGTGTATAAACGATGTATAGGGTTTATACCCATCGAAAAACTTTGTCTCATTTATGTATGAACGATAAATATGGTTTATACCCATCGAATAACTCTGTCTCATTGTTGTTTGAACGTTATATAGGGTTTATACCCATCGAATAACTCTGTCTCATTGGTGTATAAACTTCATATAGGGTTTATACCTATCGATAAAATTTGTCTCATTTATTTATGAACGATAAATATGATTTATACCCATCGAATAACACTGTCTCATTGGTGTATAAACTTCATATAGGGTTTATACCCATCGAGAAACATTGTCTCATTTATGTTTGAACGATAAATATGGTTTATACTAATCGAATAACTCTGTGTCATTGTTTTCTGAACGTTATATAGGGTTTATACCCATCGAATAACTCTGTCTCATTGGTGTATCAACATTGTTTAGGGTTTATACCCATCGAATAACTCTGTCCTACTGGTGTATGAACGTTATATAGGGTTTATACCCATCGAATAACTCTGTCTCATTGTTGTTTGAACGTTATATAGGGTTGTTACCCATAGAATAAATCTGTCTTATTGGTGTATGAACGTTGAATAGGGTTTCTACCCACTGAATAACTCTGTCTCATTGGTGTATAAACTTCATATAGGGTTTATACCCATCGAAAAACTCTGTCTCATTTATGTATGAACGATAAATATGGTTTATACCAATCGAATAACTCTGTCTCATTGTTGTTAGAACGTTATATAGGGTTTATACCCATCGAATAACTCTGTCTCATTGTTGTTTGAACGTTA